ACCGTCTTCTTGAGCATGTCGAGAACACAATATTCTTTTGACCAGATGGTGACCGGAAGGCCTTGAATCAGCTACGAAAAGTTCGCACAGATGAACGACTATTATATGGACTGATTTGAAATTTTATGGATTGTTGGTGTATAGGCAAAATCATCATTTTACTCTCAATTTTTTAAATTTTTTTAATTTAATTAAATGTTAATTTTTATCAAAGAGGTCAAAATTTGATTGTTTGGACTTGCACTCTATATATATCACGTGATGGCATTGTACTTGGATCTCACTTTGGTTTAATAAAATTTTTATCTTTTGTTCATTGTTGGGTCACGTTCGATAGAGAGAGAGAGAGAGAGGAGAGAGAAGATTCTCGATCAGTATCATTAAGCTTAAGGTGACCCTCTCTCTTCTTTTTCTCTTTCCACTTTATCTCTATTATTCTCTCTCCTCTCTTTTATCTCTTTTTCTCTCTCCTCTCCTCTTTCTCTCGCTTGCCGTCATGCCAGTCTGGCCACCGTGCCAGTCTTGCCGCCGAGCAATCTAGTCGTCGTGCCGATCTAGTCATTGTGCTCGTCTAACTGCCACGCCAGATTAACCGCCATGCCAATCTTGCCGTCGAGCAGTCTAGCCGCCTTACCAGTCTAGTCGCTGTACCAGTCTAGTCGTCGTGCCTGTTCTTTGTTCTTCTTTCCCTTTGACTGTCATCTTCTCTCTTTCTCTATCTTCTTTCCATTTTTTATCTCTTCTTTTCTTATCTCTTCTCTCTTTCTTTCTTTTTTTTCCCTTTTCTTTCTACTTCCTCTTTCTCCCTCTACTTTCTCTCTCTTATCAATATTTTCTCTCTTCTCTATATCAACACGACAGTACCCACACGGCCGAGCACACATTCTATCTCTCTTTCTTGCTTTTTCTCTCTTTGCAAGTCCACCGACTTTCGGTCGTGGACCCTAACGTTCACTCTTCCCTTCACTTACAACCTCAAGACCACCCTCTTCCCTTTTGCTCGGGACACCCTCAAGTCCACCGTCACGTGATACTCTCACGTCCACCCTCTCACGCCCCGACGGCAGCAACTTGCCGTACGCTTTTCAACCCTGCGGTACGCCCCTCTCCACTGCCTGCGCCCTTCAATCCTGTCGAGTGCCTCTCTCTATTACAGCCGAACACACATTCTCTCTCTTTCTTGCTTTTTCTCTCTGCAAGTCCACCGACTTTCTGCCGTAGACCCCGAGTGGCTCTCTACAGTCGAACACACATTCTCTCTCTTTCTTGCTTTTTTTTCTCTGCAAGTCCACCGACTTTCTGCCGTAGACCCCAATGTTCACTCTCCCCTTCACTTACAACCTCAAGACCACCCTCTTCCCTTTGGCACGTGACACCCTCAAGTCCACCTTCACGTGATACCCTCACTGCCCACCCTGCCTGATACCCTCACTGCCCACCCTGCCGACTGCCCCTCTTGGCTGCCCACCCTGCCGACTGCCCCTCTTGGCTGCCGTGCGCCCTTCAACCCTATCCAGTGCCTCTTTCCACTGCTGTGCACCTTTCAACCCACCCTGCCGAGTGCCCCTCTCGGCTACCATGCGCCCTTCAACCCTGTCAAGTGCCTCCTTCCAGTGGCGTGTGCCCTTCAACCCTCATGCCTGCCAAGTGCCCCTTTTGGCTGCAGTGCGCGCGTCGACCCTGCCGTGTGCCCCTCTCCATTACCATGCGCCCTTCAACGTTGCCATGTGCCCCTCCCCACTACCATGCGCCCTTCAACCCTGCCGTGCGCGCGCTGTCCACTGCCGAGCCCTCGTACCGCCGAGCCATCTCACGCACAGCCGAGCCCTCTTCCTTTACTGCGGCCTGCAACCACGCTGCTGCCATCTCTCTTCTGTCCTCTCCACACACCGTCTACAACCACCTCAGCCTGCCATGCCCTCTCCATCCCAGCAAGCCGCCCCTTTGCCGTGTACGATCTCCATCTCTCTTCCTCCCCACCTCCTTCTCCCACACAGCCATTCCCTTTGCTCACACTGCTGCTCACGATCTTTTCACTGTAAGCCACCTCCCTCGTGTTCGCCGTGCACAACCCACGTCAGCCATGACCACGCTTCTGCCCTCTCTCTCTAACTCCCTTCAACGAACCACCATCCTCTCCCTGTCGTCCTCTCCTCAGTCGCCACCCTCTTTCCACCTTCTTCCCTTTTCTTCAGTCTACTGCTTCAGGCGGCAGCCATCTCCGCCACCTCTGCTGCTGTCCCTCACGCAGCCACTCTGCCACCTCCTTCCCTTCCTCTCAACCTGCTGCTTCAGGTAGCCCAGCCACCATTTCCGCCACCTCACAGCAACCTCCCACTTTCTCTCTCTAGACAACCCAACAGCGAACATTCGCTTCTCTCTGCAACCTCGCTGCTCTTTCTCTCTCTAAAACCCAAACGAGTGACCCATCTCTTCATCCGCAGACAAGCGACAGTTGCAGTGGCCGTCCTCCCCTCGTATCCCCTTCTCTCTTGCCTGATTCGCCATCTCCTTTCTTCCTCTCTCTACCCTCTCAAGGTTCTCTGCGTCCTTCCCCTTTCTTCCCCTCGCTTATCTTCGTTTCGTTTTAGTTTAGTTTATATTTCGTTTCAGCTTCTTCTTTTCGTTCTATTTCGTTCCAACACTCCCTCTCTCCTAACGACTCCTTAAGGTCTTTTTTTTTTTTTCTTTTTTTTTTTTTTTTTTTTTTTTTTTTAGTTTTTAGTACTCTATGTA